CCTAAATGAAACTAAAGTAAACACATTTTTTGCTGGCTTACATGTCTACTCCTCTAGTAAATTACCCCACAGACCTCCCCAGCAACTATAGATCTGACATTGCTTGCCGGTGTTTTTGGGAACACCTGTGGTTGTAAATGTTCTTCTAGATGTGCTTCGGGAAACCTTCATGTTGTCTATTGTTAGAACAATGCTGAAAACTGTAAAAATTATGTTCTCTCAATTATTAAATGATCACTTGTTTAAACGTTGCTTGAGCCATATTTATAGCTTATTAGCTATTGTATGTCCTGTATTGTGATGGGAACATATATGTAAAACAAGATAAGACATGGAATCGTATGTTTATTGATGCCTTAAATATATTCATTCATATGTGTCCATTCTTTATTGTGCCAGAACCAGCTCTGTCCACCCCTTCTCCTCTCTGTCCCTCCAATGAGTACTGGAGAAACAGAGAGGGGAAATTCCTGAGGGGAGCGGTGACTGATAGTCACTACTCTCTGCAGAGAGAAGACTGTGACCTGAGCAATCAGTGGTTACATGATCGCTCATCTCTCAGTATATAGAGCCGGCGTGTGACAGCTGCAGTGTCCCAAACCAGCACCCTACCTAGCTTTGCAGTTTAGTAAATCAGGCCCTTAATGTAAAGCACAGTTATTTATAACACAGGAGGGAAAATCTAAACATAAAGATTTAATCTGGTAGCTATAGGAATTTAGGAATTTATTCCTAAATGTCCAGCTTTGTCCTACGTTTTCATTTAAAAATCACAATCCACAAGCTTTGCTGCCAAATCACCCCCGTCCTATTTCAGAGGCTAACCTCCTACTCAGACATACATGCATTGCATTTTGTTTGATTGTCCTTTAAAGGGCATACCATAGGGAAATCAAAGAACATTGTAATCAGTTTTGCTTCATACTGTTGCCTGACAGGTAGGCACAAGTTCTGATAAGTAGTGTAAATTGGTTGAGAAGGCGTATAATAATATACTGCAAACTAAGCACAATGGGAAACTGCAGGCCATTAGCTGCAGAAAATGAAAGCTACTCACATTAAGTTTCAGTAGCTGCTAAAGAGCAAAATGTTACCATTCTAATACTAATAATGTGAGTCTCGAGATTAAAAAGAGGTTATTATTAAGCAGTAGGTAACTGAGCTCCAAGACTGCTTGTAAGAAAACCCTGTGCAGTGCAAATTTTTTTGGAAACCTGACCAATTCTGTCATTTTGGTGAACCGCAGATTATACATGGCAATATTCTCTGTGGACTGTTGGATTTAAAGTGCTAGAGCTCATATTTTTTTTTTTAATGTGACAGTATTTTAAGCTTAAAAAGTAGAAAAGGAGCTCTGCAGTTTTCCTTTGTATTTATTTTCTGTGCTGTAGTAGCTCTAAGTTTACACAAATAATAATAGATGTCTAGTTGGGACACAACTGATTTACAGTTGACCTTCACTAACCATGAATCATGAAAACATTTATTCAGCTGTAGAAATAAAGGCTGCAGAGCATTCCAAAGTTGTTGGAAATAAAGTTACGCAAATTCATACAGTAGGATGTATAATGTAAATGATACCAACAAATAAAAAATCTCAGAAGGCAATTCTGTTGAATTATAAAGCTATAAAAGGTGATGCCTAGATCAGGTAGAACCAAAAACAAAAACTTCCATTTGGGAGCACGTACTGTGCTTTGGGACTAAATGTACCATAATTCCATGCCCATCTGTCACAGTGCACATGCTTACCCATAGCACAACACCACATCGTACGCAATGGCCACCGACCACACTACGCATGCATGCCCTATTCACAGCACTTGAATATGTACTATTCACAGTAAAATGTGTTGGATCTCTGCCACACTGCGTATGCTCACTCTTTGTATGGCATCCAAAAAGAGCACAAAAAGAGAAAGAGTAGCCCAAGCATGCGCTCCAAGAAGATCTGCAAGGCTATGGAGCCACCATTCGAGGTGGAAATGTGTTACACTCGGTTCTAAACATGAAAAATGCTTCAAAGTGTGGATGAACACAGAAAGGGGACTGCAAACATGCAACGACATAAGGTATACCACTATATTTCTCCATGGTTAGTTTAATATCACTTTAAATGTTGAGGTAAAACACTTAGCAAAATATCAAGCAACTTGGAGCAAATTACTGCAAGTTGTTTGTATTAAATAATAAATGTGAGGATAAAACTCTTGGCAAGCATCATGATTTTTTAAATGTATTAATATTTTTTTTTGCTTAATATCTGTATTAGAAAACCAAAACCACATTACAAAGCATTTTGAAGTTAAATGCTTGAAATATTAATATCACGGAACAAATATTAATATTATTGGTAAAGGGTATAAATATTTGTGCAGACAAGATATATTTACAACCTTTTCGGACAGTCAGATTTATTTAGTAATGCAATAAATGTTCACCAGCATACCTCATTAAAAATATGTTTTTTTATTCAAACATGGAAAACAATGACTATCGTAGACTAATCTTTCAGGACCATGCAGGATCTCTGTGTCAAGGCAAAATGTTCAAACGTAGAGCCAAAAAATGTTTTGTGATGATCAGCTTTTATGATGTTTGAATATAAGAGTTTATTTGTTAAAAAAAAGAATGCTGGTGAAGATTTGTTGGATGCTTATGGATTTATGGCACCATCCATCTATTCACTTCAGCCCCCAGCAAGAAATTATAGGTATGACTGTATGCTGTGTCACTGACATTATTGTACTATAGATATATTCAAAAAGGTAGTACAAAGAGTACGAAGAACATTGATGATACTATAATACAGGCATACATGACAAAGCATTGTTAAAAAAGTCTTGCCTAACTGCACTCAAAGCTTTGTTGAAAAAGGCATGGAGCTTTAATTAGCCAAATCCATAAGCAGGAACTGGCATTGAAATGAATGCAGACTATAAGTAAAATGCAGATCCATGCTGCATTGCACTAACCTGACAGATTCATTCCTAATCCAAGCATATTATGCCTGCATAATTTTAAGTCTGCATTTACCTGAGTTATTAGACTTAAAAGTAGGCATTGGCTCCCCCAAAAGAAGGCAGGGTAAAGCAGGGGCCAACAGGCACTGAGGATAGAGGAAAGAAGCAAGTCAATAATACTTAAAGCAGTCATTCAGATTGCAGGTTGTAGAATATATTTTAGTGGATGAAAGCGAACCCCTAAATAACTAGTAAAGGAATACATTGGAAGCTTCCAGTATTGAAAATGTTGATTCATCCCAGATTTCTATTTACTACATTAGTATTTTATGTAAGCCCAAATTCTTTCAGGTTCACAGATCAAGAAAGTCCCTTCAGAACTAGGATTGTTCTAACTTATGATATACAGTACATGGCTAAAAGCTTGTGGACATCTGATCTTCACACCTGCATTATATGAGCAATAGTATGTGGACACCTCTCCAAATTGTTGAATTTGGTATTTTTTTTATGAAAGAGACTGTTAATGCTACAGCATAAATCCAACTTTGTGGCAATGGTTTGAAAAAGGACCTTTTCTGTTCCAGCACATCTGTGCCACTGTGCACAAATCCAGGTCCATAAAGACGTGGTTTGACGAGTTTGTTGTGGAGAAACTGAAGGGGTCTACACTAAGCCCTAAACTCAACCCTACTCAATGCCTTGAGGTGAACTGTAATGTTAAATGCAAGCCAGGTCTTCACATCAAGCATCAGTCCATGAGATCACAATGCACTTTTGGCTGAATGTGCACGAATTCCCACAGACACACGCTAAAATCTTGTTAAAAACCTTCCCTGAAGAGTAATGTCTAATTAATGTCTAAACCGTTGGCAACAAAAGTGAGTACACCCCTAAGTGAAAATGTCCAAAGTGGGCCCAAAGTGTCAATATTTTGTGTGGCCAACAATTATTTTTTTCAGATCCTGAGAGAGCTCTTTGCCATGAGGTGCCATGTTGAACTTTCAGTGATCAGTATGAGAGAGTGAGTGCAATAACACAAAATTTAACACACCTGCTCCCCATTCACACCTGAGACCTTGTAACACTAATGAGTCACATGACATCGGGGAAGGAAAATGGCTAATTGGGCCCAATTTGGACATTTTCACTTAGGGGTGTACTAACTTTTGTTGCCAGTGGATTAGACATTAATGGCTGTGTGTTGAGTTATTTTGAGGGGACAGCAAATGTACACTGATATACAAGCTGTACACTCACTACTTTACATTGTAGCAAAGTGTAATTTCTTCTGTGTCGTCACATGAAATGATATAATAAAATATTTACAAATATGTGAGGGGTGTACTCACTTCTGTGAGATACTGTATATACACATATACAGACACTTTAGACCCCATAGTGTATGTATTGGGTAATGCAGCAATACACATTATTTTTGGGTTTTTGTTTTTGTTTTTTAACAGGTGCATTAAATAAGTCCTGGCTTATAAAACCCGAAGATAAAAAAAATAGCCCCCCTTCTATTAAATACCTCAGAGAATTGGCTGGAGGTTTATTAACACAATGCAGGGCAAATGTTTGTACAAATTAAAAAGAAAGCGCATGCTTTATTTGTAATATATTCTTTATTTGATTTCTAAGTCTTTAAACGTACATGACAACCGTGCTTTTATTACAGATAGACACCATTAAAAGACATTTAAAATGTATCTTATATTACATTTGGTCCATAGAACAGGTTGCAAGATACTAAATATAAAGGATACTGCATTTTTCTCTTTAACAGGCTCTGTATATAGTTGTCTATGCATATGTTACATTACATATAGATTTTATATATAGATAACTTTATTTGTATCTCAACAATAATATCTTATTGCAGGTAAGCTTATTGAATGATAGAATATATTTTTTCAGGGTAGATACTACAAAAAATACAGATACAATTTAAACACAGTAGTTCCTACATCACTATTTTGCTAAAGTAGATAAGGTATGTTGTATACAAGATAGCTACAAAGCATATCTGTCAACTTTTTTATGTAATTGTTGTGTACAATCATACATTTAAATACTGTATGGTATTCAAACAACATTGGACTGAAGTACATATATTAAACAGCAGTCAGTTGCCAATATATTGATGGCTCTGATACCAAATTAATCTCACAAAGAATGGAAGGTTTATACAAAATAAAGTTACAACAAGACATATTGCCTGGTTTAGCTACAGACATATTAAACATTATAATTCAGATTATGTTACATTTGAGTATGAGACGGCTCAGGGTCTACTAAACAATACTGTTTAACAAATTTTGATAAAATATTTTGTATATATTTTCTACAATAAATGTGCTTGACATTCTGAGAATATTAATTTATTGCAAGAACATATATATCTTTGTCTTATTTTCTACTCTTTGGACAAAAATGACAAACCAAACTAACATTCACAAGAAACATATTTTCACATAATAGTTCTACTTAAAGTACATGTGCTATATAACATTTTTTTTTTAAAGCACAGGACTTGGCTAACTAGCAAGTTCATTGTGCATCTCTCTCACAGTCACACCTTCACAGGCATTTAAAATGCTCCTGTAAATGCCAAGCAATGCCAAAAGCAATTCAACTTGTTCTTTTATTTATATAATTAAATATATGAATATTTTGACCATTTAGAAGGTGCTGTAGATCCAACCAGGGTGTTGTGTGGCAAAAGGGTGTCTTTTTCCTTAACAATTTGGCATCCTTGTTCAGTTTTTGTGTCTTTTATTTATGGAATATTTCTGAAAGTTGTCATCATCCTTACCACTTACAACATCAGTGCCTCATGGTGACTAAATTACTTAAGAGACATGTTCATCTGAATGCCCTTAATGTAGAAACAATTATTGAGAAGGTTGTTGTAATTGAATTAAATATTGCATTCATAGTGCAGTCATTTGTGCTACTGTGAAATGAAATTTACTGAAAGGAATGCAAAGCTGGTGTCCTAAAATTCCTCTGTTTGCTACAAAAGATACACGTAAAATTTGGTCCCTTGAAACATTTGTTTGATTTGTGCTTGGCTACCCTTGTTAAGAAAATTATCACTATAATATTTTCAGAACATTAAAAAAAGTTTATATTACTCTTTAAAATTATATGTTTAAACATTTTCTAAGTGATAACTCCTTTCTGTAAAAATGTTGATTAAAAAAAAGAGAGAAATAATATTTGTATTGACATACTCAAAATCTCGGGATCCATTTTTTAAGACATTTATCCATACAGAATTAAAAATCAGTCACACAAAAACCTCGTATCTTCATAGCCAAATACAACTTTAAAAATGGTGTCGGTTTACAAATTCAACTCTCACAGTAAAGATAAAAACAGTAACAGTCTAAATTGCCTGAACACACAAACCATTCATTTTACTCCACAAAACTGTAAGAAAATAGCCTAGTTGAATTCCTTGTGCTCTGCTATTGGTGGTCCCCTTTTTTGCCACTGGAGGTAGGTAAATTCTTTATTCCAGATGTAAATATGTGGTCATGTCAACCATTCTGTATTTAAAAAACATTACACTTGCATTTTCTTAGTACAGTGTTTTTAAATATAGGCTTCCTTGTTTGCTGAATTACTCTTAGACAACAGTTCGGGTCCATTTTCTGAGTGAACAACATCCTCCCTTGGCTGTATCATGACTTGTAGGCGCTGGAAGCATAAATCAAATGTTATATGTTTTTACGTCTCACACAAAAAGCACACAAATTCTCTTCTCTCCAATACAGCTAAGTAGATTGCTAGTAGGCTTTTTGGTCAATTAAAGTGTGTCTAACACCAAACTTTTTTAGTTTTGGCTAGAATAGGAAGGGTTAAAATGAAAATCCCTGTACATTTATTGTCTGTGTCCCCTCTAGGGAGATTTATACTCTCAGTTTGTACTGATAACTAGCAATGAGCCTGGGCTTTGTGTGAAACCAGTTTGCCTGAGTTCACCTAAGCTCGCTCAAAACTCAGACCACTACCCCCTCCTCCTGACCCATTGTGTAGGGACACTTTCCCCATCCGTAGCTATATGTCACAAAGGGGTGGGAAATACCCCCTCCACAACTGCCATCACTGATTGGGTCCAGAGGAAGGGGTGGTGGTTAGAATTTTGAGCAGGCTTGGGCAAACTCAGGCAAACTCAGGCAAATTGGGTTCACACCAAGTCCACCCTCATCTCTACTGGTAACCAAGAATAAGAAGAAAGGGAGGGAAAATCCAAAATGTTGACATGTCATCAGAAAAGTAATGGAGGGTAGGACGAGACCATTGAGACCACTGAGAGAAAAGAGACCACTACTTCCATGCAGGCAGCAAATATTCTTCTCTGCAGCATGCTGTTAGGGGGAAGGCTTTTCTACTCAGGTTGTGGCTGCTTTCTAAAGAAATTAACTTAGGTTAAATTCAATTAAATTACAACTTAAATTAAATTAAGACTTTGCACTCCTTTTGTTTGATGCACCTGGAATGTATTGAGCTGTATTAAGCTGATTCAAACTAAAAATGTAATTGCCCTAAATGGGTTTGCTAAGGAGCCCCAACACACATAGTTACCTTCATCTCCCCCCGCCTTCCAAAATGTGCTTGCTATTTAAGTCCTACACACTTTAGGAGATTAGGAGACATTAGGAGATTACAATCATTTGTAAGAGCCATACAAACAAGAATGTAGAATCATATTACTTACAGCTGACATTACTTTAATTATTGATATATGTTTTGTTTTCTTAAAAGCTAAAACATGACAATTTCTTATACTGACAACCAAGCAATTGTACGTATAATAATGATGTTCCAGCTCAGAGAAGCTCTCCATACCTGTTTTAAAGATCCTTTTAGCGATACAAACAAATAAATCATGTATCCTGGGATCAGCACCATCGAAGACAAGGCCATGAACCATCCAACACCTTGGCCCCAGGCAGGAAAGACATAGTTTCCCATGGTTAGAGGAGTCATTTGAACGGCACTGAAAATGAACACCCCCTGCCAAAAGAAAATTAGTGTACCGTATAAATGTCTTGTCAGACGTGAAGCATATTTCAAGATAAAATACAGAGAGACAAAAATAAATTAGTGTTAAAAAGGGCACAAAGTCGACATTAAGAAAATTAATGCAAAGTGTTGTTTTTCTGGTGTCAAAATAGACCAAAATAGAAGCCAGTGTAATGTTTTTTTCCTAAGGTAAGCTTGTTGACATTTTGTTAATCAATGGATTGCTAAGTGGGAAGTGAAAGAAAAGTCAGCCTGATATTACTAGAATCATGCAGGATAATGATGTAATTGTTTTTACACAGTATTATTCTACTTAATGAGACCCTGTCATAAACGTAAAGAAATGCAGGCAAAAGTACAGAAGAATACTGATTTTGAAATGCTTGCAGTGATTTCCCTTTCCATAAACATGTTATTATTGCAATATGCCTTTGAACCTGCAAGATAATTTGACTACTCCAGCAAGAGTCAGTTCCCTAGCACAGCCACCTCCCTCTTTGCATGTCATAGCTCTTTTCTCTTACGAGAATGTCTAATTAAAATTTGTGCTGGCCCAGCTCCTCCATCCTTCCCTTAATTTCCCTACACAATATTTTTGTAGCTGCCAGGGAGGCAGAAGGGGGGAGTAAAGGGGAAAACTATAGTGTGACTTGAATGACAGCTCTGAGTCTGCTGGGGCTGCTGACATAACATCCAATATGGCGGTGCCCAGCAGCAATCTTATTGCTTTTGGATGTCTACCCAAGGCATACTTTTACAGGTAAATGACATGAAATACATAAAATGCATAAATAATATTATTGTAGGATTGTCATTGAAATTAATGTTTTTTTTAAACCCTTTCACCCACGGTACCCCATATATGTGGTGCCATGGAAGTGGCCTTTTTTCTATGGTCCACATACTACATAAGCAACATGCTTTTTGTGCTGGGGGCACTCTTGACCATTCACCCCCAGAATTGAGACTGAGTTGCCACCAACAACTCCTGGGGGGTGATTTACTAACCTACACACACGCACGCACCAGGTGCGTGTGATTTTCACACAACAAAACGTATTTATCAACCAAAAAGTCTCTAAAAGCATATTTCCAATAATATATGGAAAATATGCTCAGCATGTTTGGCCAACCCGAAGTGCAGAAAGAGTTCGACTCAGCCGATCCAACATCTGGATCGGCTGAGCCAAACCTCCGGTCCACCTCTGCTGGTGGACCTGATGGAGAACTGCAGCAGAGGGGGGTACAATGCTAGTTTACTATTGGCTATTGCAAATTGAAATAGCCAATAGGAATCTAGCAATGCCTTCCAATGGGAAAAACATTATTTTATTTTTGTTTTCTATTCTGACACGGCTCCGTGTCAGAATAAAAAAAAAAGAAACATCAGTGTTTCTCTCCTTGGCGACCGGGAGACTCCCGGAGCGCCAGGGAGAGTTAGCTGTCTGGAAATCAGTGTACCTGGTTAGCAGGTAAACAGGGACGCTAATCTCTCTGCAAGTGGCTGTAAGATCACGGCTGGCTCCGCCCAGCTGTCAGAAGCAGGCTGCTCGGCCAGCTTCGGCTTTCAGCGCGGCTCAGCATGCGTTCGGCTCAACTCAGACGCTCGGCCACGTTCGGGAGCTGTACGGGCTATAGTGAATAGCCCGTACAGCACCCCTTCGGTTCTACTGAAACGAAGGGGTCCTAGGGCCGAAGTTAGCCGAAGGATCGGCCGAAGCTACGGCTAGATCCTTCGGCAGCTTCGTGAATAGACCCCTGTATCTTTCCAGAGGCCCAAAGTTTAGTCCCTCTTTAAGTTTGTGTTCTTCTATGATTGTTGTAGAGACAATACATTATAATATGTAAGCAGAACTGATGTGACTGAATCCATGCATTTATTAAAGTTCTAGGCAACATGTTAGCACACAATAAGCAAGGGAAGTAATAAAACACATTAGAAATTGTCATAGCTAAACATTTTATTATATTTGGATAGCCCCGTAAAGTGTCCAAAAATGTATTACTCTTACCATCTTGGTGGCAATGACCATATCTTCCACTTAATTATGTATAATACTACTGATGCTTGTATAACTATGGAAGTATTGAGCAAGCCTGATGTATATGTATTGTATATTTCTAACAAAGTTAAAGTGACCAAAAATTGCGTAACTTTAGATAATCAGCCGCAAAGTTACAATTTTATCAATTTTTTTACATTGCAGCTTGTAGCAGCTTTATAACTTTTTTTGCATGTGGTTTTGACTATCTTGTAGTACATCCCATGAATACATTGTAATACAAAGATTAATATAATTCGATATTATTAAGAAAAATTATGTAAATCTTACCGCTACAACAAGGGGTGTAAAGAAAGACCAGCACAGTTTCCACCAGAGGCATGGTCTGTAACCAACCATTTCTTCAATGTTATCATAGAATCGGTTAACTCCTAAGTGAAAAAAGAAGGCTATTTAAGCTAAAACAGGAGATGTTTTTTCTCTTTGGGTTTTCAAAGAACGCCCCCCCCCCCCCATCCCACTGCTGAATGAGAAGAAGCTTCAGCTTCTGGGCCAGGTCACTCGCTAATTTATGGTAAGTACATGGAATTATAGCTAGCATGGGGGAGAGGTCATTTAGGTTTAGGTTATTTGAACGTATATATAGTTGCACTTTAAGTAAATATTTTAATAAAGGTCACTCACTAAATACTGAAATATTGTGAGTTGCCAACCTTTTAGAGGCAGTAAAAAAAGTTATTTTAACGTTAGATGAAGTTCCTGGGGTACATTCCCAGGAACTTAAGCACAGGGATCTCATCAACAAAGTCCTTGAAATGTATAAAAATACGTGAGGGGATTTTACTTTCCTGCATCTACTTAAAAGGAATATATCAGTTTTTGGTGGACTGGACCCTTTGAGCCCCTCTGTACAAGTAACAAAATGTAGTTTTATTGTACGATGACCCATTTAACTACTGTTTGTAAAGAGGATGCCTTAGTTCTCTTTTAAACCATCCAACATAATCTTTCCTCCTCCTGAATCAAGGCTATAAATTATACAGTATAAAAGTAGGGAATTACCAAAGCCTGTGATTTAGAGAATAAAGGATAAATTCATCTTAGAGAAGAGACACAAATTTAACATGCAGTGCGAGACTTCAAAAGAGCCAAGAATAACCTAAAAGGGTCCACCAAAATCTAATAATTAAAATGCTATAGGATGGGAACAAAACAAAACTCCGGGAAATCTTACAGTATACTGTACGAAGATTCCAGCTGATGGGAATGATTTGTATATCAAAAGCTATTAAACTCAAAACTGGAAAGCTGAAAAACACTATGGCATGTTTTCTACTTTTCCAGTCTACCATTTGCACACAGTCCTATTTGTCCTTACACCAATCATTCTGGACTTTCTTAGAAAAGACTGTTCAAAGTAGAATTTTGTCCATACTATGGCCATTGAAATATTTCCATATGATACCATTTGCATTGTAATGCACAATTGGTGGTGTGGTGCATTGCGGTGCCATTCATTTGAATGGCACTGCAGTGCACCTCAACTCATGTGAATTTAAGTGCAACTGTCTGATACTTTGTGTGTTGTGGTGCGATGACAGCCTATTCAAAATAAATTGGTTATGTCAATGCAATGCACATTAACACAAAAAATCATGCACATGAAAGAAGGCACTGTGTGGTAATTTATCCTCAATTTTACTGCAAATTCACTTTAATTTTCTCTAAGTAGCTCATCAGCAGGGACTCCTTCTGATCTCTAATGTAAATGCAGAGGAGGTACACAGGAAGAAGGGAGAGACCTGAACTGAACTTCACTGTTTCTCTTGTGAACTTTAAGGATGAATTCCATTGCATCTGCAGATAGAACTGTCATTGGGGGCTTATTTTAAAGCTTATTTGCTGCTTTCTAAGGATATGCATATGTTTGAATGTTCATAGCCTACCACAGTTCTACTTTAAAGCTCAACTGCAGGAAAAAATTGTTTGCACATTTGCTATGTAAAAAAAACTTGAGGATGATGATGCATTAGGTAAAAAACTCAGGTTTTACTCACCCCGACGTCACTGTAAGAACCAAAGTACTGGCGTTAAGACTTAACAGTTAGGGCTCTTATATAGTAAAGTAGAGTGTTGCTGACTCTCCACTTTCACAAAACATCTTCTATTCTTTTCACAAAATAAAAGGTGTTCTGTGAATGTACAAGGGAGATCCTGACGTTCATCCACCAGCCCCCACTTCTTTACTGTATGAGAGCCAGCACTGTCAATCTTGTTCTAGAACTGAAACTGGAAGTTCAACACTTGCAGTAGTATCCGGGATGAATACATATGAGCTTTACCTAACGCAGCAGCCTTCCACACATGGGACACCTATCATTACAGGTAATTTTAATTTACAAAGCAAATGTGCAAAACTAGCTTTTTCCCGACGATTAATTTTAAGCACACTATAAGAAGCTTTTTACAAGTTTTTAAAAGTAGCAGACATTTTTTTCCAGAAACCCAACAAAAAAAGCTATCTTTGATTTTCAATATTTAATTTATCTTTAAATTTTCATATGACATCATTGGATGGAATCAATATATTTTATAATTAAAACAAAATATCATTTATATATATATATATATATAGCAGAACAAAGCATTTAACTGGGCAGTTAATATAACTAGTTTGACTGTATTAGATAAAATACAGAGCATACAAACTTTCAATGTATGAGGTACGGCAGCGTTAAAACCAAAGAAGTTATAGACCAGGCAGTAACTCATATCAACAAGATTTCAAAAGACTAATGCCACATTGCTCTTGCCTTACTTAATAAGCCAGATAGTAGAATTTAAAGGCCAATACTTATTACTGCAGCTATTGTTATGATTGAAGAGTTGATTGTCACTAAAAACTGAATGACAGGAAAGAGTAAAATCGGACTTTTGGATTAAAACCTTCATTCACTAAAGACGCTTTCACTTTATGGGAAATATCCCTATGTTCACCCTTTTTTTCTTTTTAATAAAATTTCCAACTATAGTAATGTAATCCTTTTCAAAGGAATTTTAGTCATCAAAGTGGCTGCAGTTACTTAAATGGCAACTTAAATGGCAATAGTCTATTATTAGGTTTAAATGCTTCTTATTTTCTTGTTGATCAATTTCTTAATCTGAAACCCCCAAATAAAACCAAATAAAAAAGAATAAAAGTAAGGAACATTTGAATTAATTCTCCACAGGATTGTGCGTATTTAAAGCTCCATTAAAGTCACAGGAATAGATATTCTTAATCTTATCGCTACTTTCCTGTTGCAGCACTTGTGCAGAAAGTTTAAATATGACTGTAAAGTCCAGTAGACATCAGAGTTAGACCTCATTCACACAGATGTGTCCCTCCCAGGTGTTGCGTGTAACCATGCACAGCCACCTGTACATCTCAATGACAGGACGCAGCTGCACACAGCTACACACTGACTGGAACTTGCACATCCATACAGGTATGGATGCAGGCTTTTGGACGCAGACTGTCTGAATGCCTCTGAACATCAATATTATGTGTATTTAGGCTTTTGGTGGTCTTGATGTGAACAGACATCAGCAGACACTTCCCAATGTAAAGATGTATAAAGGTTCCCAACACTCAGTCATCATGATGATTGTGATCACTGACAGCATGCTGGAGTCATCAGTATTAACATTGGCACCGGCAGTACACTATCAAGGCCTGCAGAGCCAAGATATGTTCCTGAACAAGCTGCCATTTCAGAGTTCACCAAGTCCACAAAGTGACTCATCCATCAATAAAGGATATCATTTTTATTCAACCGTAAAAAAAAAGAATTCATATTGTAAAATAGTTTTTTTCATTTATAGTATTCAGCATCATCATCTTACCGTAACACCAGGATATTGAGATGCACTCAAAGAACACCAGAAACAGAAGACTCATACCACTGGCTGAATAATAGTCAAACAATTTGAATACATAAATGCCACCCTAAGAAAAACACAGCATATGTTATATATAATATATTTCAGCTTACAATAGTATTTACAAAAGACCAAATCATGTGCAACTTATGTGCAACTTTCTGAATGTTAAAACACAATGAGAGGAATTTGTCAAAGCATTTGTCAAACAAGTCAGCATCTCTCTTTCATTTTAAAGCTTAACCTAATAAACTGAAGAGAGAAGATGATTTTTCTTTGCTGCTGCCCTAGGCAAGGCAGCAACGCCGCCCTCCCTATGCAAACGCCTTGTTGGCCTCGCGGCAGATACACCCCTGGTTACTATGGGCAGATGCTCCAGCTTCTGTCTGCTCTAGTTTCGGTAAATACCCCCCAATCACTTGGTCTTGTGTACTAAAGTGTCTGTACACTGTTAGTATTTCCCCACAACCTGCAAATAGTGTTAAGTTTTCAGATTTCAATCTTGACTCTTTATTTTAGAAATTATACTTTTATGCATACATTACTTTTATTATTCCGAAAGGGATAATACCAACAGAAACTTAGAATATATTGCCTATGATTCAACCCCTAAAATGCCATGTTTATCTGTATTCTCCAGGATATGCAGAATAATATCCTCATGCCTGGCAGTAGGAAAGCTGTAGTGTCTCTGCAAAGGTTACAATTGGGAAAGAAATTCAGGTTAGTGGCCCATGTCATGGAGAAGACAAGTTGCATAATATGTGATCATAGAAATGTGGGGAACAAAACCACTTTTCTGAGAGTTGAGAAGGAATTATGATTTCTGGTATAGGGGAATTTTCTTTAGCCAGTTCTCTGGCGATCAAGCACTTTGAATTTTAAGAACAGCTTAAATGTTCATAAAGAGCCAGAATGAGATGTGTGATGTCCAAAATCTAAGAATATTATATTAAAGTAATCTAAGAATATTATATTAAAGTAATCTAAGAATATTATATTAAAGTATATGTTTTATCATTCCCATTTTTATGTGAATATGGTTTTCATTAAAGTTTTCAATTTGGTTTTCTTTTAGGGGTCAGAGCAGGAAGTGAGAATAAAATCTCTCCAATAGAGAAACATACAGAAACACAAGGGGAAGGGTTAGAACTTCTGAAAATGTGTTTATTGCTGTCTGGCCACCACACCCTCCTCACATGGACAGGTAGTTAGGAAAATGCCCCCAATGGGTTTACAGGCAAAAAAAGAACCCCAAATGGAATTGTAACCCTTCCCTATACAATTTGATAACTAAACTTTTTTTTGCAAAGTGTTAGGCCTACTTCACAATGGGACCCTTAGGCTTGAAATTATTTGTGTTGCCAAACTTATGTATCATTGTTAATCAAATTGGATTCCCCACACTATTTTGCATTTAGTTTGATATGTGTATCTATGTAACACTGCTCAATTTTCCATGTCCCATGAGCTCTACCATAATCCCACCATGCCAAGATGGAGCACGATATGACCAGTCCAACCATGTTTAGGGTTAGACCCATCTACAGAACACCAAAATATAGTATTTCCATACAAGAAAATAAAAGGTATTAATGTTATGACTAATTGATTTTTTAAGGCACACATACAAAAAAATACATAAAAGTTATTTAGAGTGTAATCTTGTATGTAAAAACGTATGATAATGGTTAACTATGCTGTAGAGGTTTAGTTATGAAGTGCTTGGGTAAAGATTTGAATTTACTATGTATGAGGAGGTAACCATAGCTACACAGAAGGAAAGGGGGAAATCAGAGGGAAGGATGAATTGATAAAGCAGATTTTTAGGTTTATACACGTACCTGAGTTATGTTTGACAACCCGATAAGATAGGAGACTACGCAGACAATAGCAATAAATATTTCTCTTCGATTGCGTAACGCCTTTGGAAATTCATCTACAAGAGCTGTTATGAAGCCTTCAACTGTACAGAACTGCAAAACAAAAAGATATGTTAACTGGTATTTATCCATCCCTAAAGTGTACCTAGCCTCAGATACATTTTATATGTTAACGACATGCATGTTATGTCATTTGAAGGTGTAACACTTACAGTTATTTATTACCTCTCACAGATATCACAGTAATCCCCCTGACAATGCCTTTACCTGCTTTTCTCTCCAAAATGGTGTCATCTTTGTTCAGGTACAATAGTCAGCACATTGTCTAAGATACCTGCTCAGAGCTAACACAATCAGGTAAATCCTGGTGCCTGTGGAGTTCTAGGCAGTGTTCACAAATGTCTGATAGATCAGCCCCAACTGCAGAATCTGACATTGTGGTCTACAAACTCACAATGTTGCATTCTGATCACTTGGGGAAAGTTGGCTAAAGAAAGGCTTTTTCCTGCCGACAGCATGCTAATGAAATCAGCCTATCCTAAGCAAAGTCACTTACCGGAGCCTAAGAATGATTTAAAAAAGTAACATGTGGAGCTTTTCTAAAAATATAGTTGCTGTGTATTATGACACACCAAAAATATATTCATGCAGATAGTAAAGTTACTGAAAGGTACACCATGAGTGTCTGCAATATTGGGATCAGTTGTATATGGAACTGAGTGTAAAGGTATGCTTTGTGCTTTGAGGGGTAAGATCAAGTTAAAGTGATGTGAAATTTTAAGCTACATTTTTGCAAAACAACCCCCACCCCTATCCACCCTGAAATACAAAAAAGCAACCCTCAGATTAGAAGCTTGTATGCTTACAGCCAGCAGAGCCACAGTGGTCCCACTTTGCTTACTATGCTTTCCCCAGGCTAGCTGAGCGATGTATTGCACGACAACTACATGGAGTTCTTTTGGCTAACTATCATTGTGTCAGTTAGTTGTACGGATTGCCCATAAATGTTTATGCACCTGAATTGAGGAGAGTAATGTAAACAGAGCAGGTATGCTACAAGTCTGCTGGCTGCCAACGTGGAAGCTTTTGATCTGAGGTTTACATTTTTATTTTAGTTTTTATTGGCAAGGGCAAGCGTAGCCCTTTGACATAAATTCATTTATAATTTTAGTTCCGCTTTAAGTGGCTAGAGCCAGCCGAAATGAGAGGTTTGGGTGGGTATATATTTGTTATTTTAGACCCTAGATGAAAATGATCATTTAACCCTTGCAGTGGGGGGGTAGCCCCACTGAAAGGGTTATGTTTTCTACTGCCCGTAGTTCTTTCTTTTAGTTTAGGGAAAGGTTTAAGGTTGAGGGCAAGGGCCTTAAATATGGTGGCTGAATTATTATTTTTTTTATAGGCTTTTTTTCCTTTATTGTCACCTGGTGATATGGTCAGTAACACAGTTCCTGTCTTAGGGTGGCTCAACTCTATGGAGGCACAACAGAGCCACCCTTGGACAGCAGTTAGATTCACTAGAGGATTTAAATGGACTTTCCTTAAGCAAAGTAAATCCAAACCCCAGCTTGCACTGGATTCCTATTAAATCCTTACATAAATGAATACAAGTTGACCATTGTAAGCACCCCTGCCCATGGTAAATGGTTTGTCTGGACCCCCTAACTTCCACTTTTGCTGAACAGTTTGGTCTGTTAAAGGATGTTAAAAAAAATAACAGACTTACTGGCCAGATCACCAGGTGAAAATAAAGAAAAAAAAAGAAAAGTAATGCAGCCACCATATTTAAGAATTGGTAAGCTACAATGTATAACATTTTTGCTTTTGGATTTAGATACGCTTTAAGACTAACTAATAGGCGTTTGTTTTTCAAGTGTGGTATAAAAGTTTTTTTAGAGTGAATGTTTTTTTCAAATATAGTGCATTCGATAATGAGGAAACTGCCATACCTGAAGCAACCACACTAATATTTCAATATTAATTAATTCAATATTTTCTATAGAACTGGTTTTAATAATTAGCCACAGTATAATTTAAGGGCCTCACAAGCAGTGCCTAATGGCAGTAAACCAATTTGAAATTATATTTTACATATAAGCAGAACATAATGAACGAAAAGCCCACAATAGACAACAATATCTAAATACAAACATGCTGTATGATTACATATTCTACTATTGTGAGCTCTCTTCTAAATAGTTAAACACAGCAGCGGTTGTAGAATAAATGCACACAAATAAGCTCAGCAGTTTTGGGTACTTTTAATTTCACTTGATTATTCAGCATGAAATGTGGACATAGTGGTTACATAACAGACTAAATGTAAAATAAAACAGGAGTAAGCTTTGTTTTTAAACCAAGTGAACATTCTTCTTCTACAAGGCACATTGTAATAGGTGATTATAGAGTATTGTAGGAATGTTTTGACAGTAAATCAACACATATAATAAAAAAACCCTCATCTGACTGCATGAAAGATGAGAAATAGAGGACAACATAAAGCTAGCAAGATATGCTCTAGAATTAAAAGAGGCAGTGGGTTAATTTACTAGAGGAGTGGAGAGTTTCTACTTCGCTTAGCCTATCTAAGGCTAAGCGAAGTAGAAAAGGCTAAGCGAATCGGCTAGCTGTAGCTTAGCCGATTCCTCACTTAGTCCACTGAACTGAAAGGTGAAGTTCACTTTAATCATCAAATCAAATCAGCAAAAATCCTGTTTTTATAATTGTCCTCGCTTATGATTGGGTGTGTAAAGTGATCACAGCTTCACAATATTTGCTTGGATCACCAAGATGGAGAAGCATGTGACTCTTTCCTTTTAAGTAGCTGTAAAGGAGATGAGCCCTGAACTGTTCCTGTGCTCTGTTTTGTAGAGGTTACCCAACAGTCGACTAGCTTAAGACTCATCTACTTAGGCCTTATGGAAGCATGCAGAAAGGGCCACTCCACTTGAAGGTCCAGAATGAAATGTTATTTGTAATCATTCAACATGATAAGCCAACACATTTCAGGGTTTGCAAGGGTTCCCCTTGTTTAAGGCTGAAATCAAACAGAAGATTGAAATCTGGACTAGAAATGTCAAAAAGGTGAACGATCTGCTTGTTTGTTAGGGACTGGCCCTTCACCACTGATACCTCTGTCAAGTGACAGTGTTGACGTTTAGTGACTGGCCCATTGCTTTCACATGGTTGGTAGACAGTCTTCAGTCCCTTTTAAAATAATGCTACAGCAACTAGGGGTTTAGCTTTGTCACTCCTGGCAGCTGAATGAACACAGGGGGAGTGAAAGAAAGGTAAATATCTACTGCTGGGAAAGGCAGCACTAATATAAACTTGTTGCTATGCCCCGCATGGACTCCATTAGACCTCTGAAGGTATTTTTTTGTATCTGCCACCAAGCCAGTAGCAGATCCCATAATTTTTGTAAGTTGTGAGGTGGAGCCTCCATGAATCAAACTAGTTTTTCCAGCACATCCCACAGATGCTCAATTGGATTGTGATCTGGAGAATTTGGAGGCCAAGTCAACACCTTAAACTTGTTGTGTTCCTCAAACCATTCTTGAACCATTTTTGCAGTGTGGCTGCTGAAAGAGGCCACTGCCATCAGGGAATACTGTTTCCATGAAGGGGTTTACTTGGTCAGCAACAATGTTTAGGTAGGTGCTACATATCAAAGTAACATCCACAGGCAGGACCCAAGGTTTCCCAGGAGAACATTTCCCAAAGCAACACTCTGCCTCCACCGGCTTGCCTTCTTCCCATAGTGCATAATGTTATGGATTTACAATATGGGCTTAGCTTGCTCAGCAATTTTTTTTCTACGCTGTTCATGTAACAACTCAATGCATTGTATGTACACACTGGAATATAAATTCCTACATTTGAATCATGGTAATGAAATGCTCTGACAGCCTTCAATAGATCGTCAAAAAAAAATGCTCATTCACTCTGTTGATGCTGTGCTTTCTTATCTGAGTAGGAGGTCCTCAATTCCTACCATGATCACAATTTTGACTGGTTCCAACCTTGTCTTAACTGCAACCCCAATGCCTGATTTAGTCATGGTTGTAATAACTGTAGCTTAAAATACAAACCATTTATATCTTGTAAATATTATGATCATCACAAATCATTTGACTGTGGGTCTAGCAATGTTTAAATTCATCATTTCATATTACTTAAAGCCGATCTAATTCTGAACGGGACAACATTTGTTTGCTAAAGCACTGTGTATCAAATAATTGCCATGGGTTTTTGTTTACTAAAATACTGTTTTCACCATTTGTATATCCTTTTTTTTTGCTGCCGATCTTCTCCAGCCTCATTCCATCACTTCCTGCTTACATTGATGTGATGTGCCCCAAGATAAACTGCAAATTACTGGATTCCTGACTACTGTGGACAATGCCTGAGAAACATGTGTCAGCACAGCCACTTGTACACTGCATTATGGAGGCCTGTGAAAGAGTGACAACGCAGCAGCACAATTTCGAGACCCAAATCACCTTATAACAAGGTGCCTCAACAAGAAGTTCCTGATATTACTACTAGTATTAAATGCTAATATTAAATACACACACATTTTTGTATAAATATAACCTTATCTTATATTTTAGGTGTGGGTCTCTACCCATTAAACATAACACATAGTTCACTTGCTGAATAATGTACTGTTTTCACTACTATTTATGACCTGACCACAATTACATCTTCCTTCTCCATTCATTTCAGTTTTGCCTTGACAATAAATCTGACATATTGCCTTTGGGTTATGTATGACTTTTCTATCATTGCTCATTCTTGTATCAGTTCAGAATAGTAACAAAGATATAAACATATTCCTTGCACTGTTATTAAAGCCTAAGAGGTCCTGTGAACTGGAAGACACATTCTAGGGAGAAAAGGCAAATAGCTCCACTTCACAAGAAGACAATTCCAAATATGTTAAAGTTGAACTCTAGGCAAACAGCTACTGTACATAGACATATGAAGGACATTCAGGACATGACAGCTGATTTGCCTGCCAAAGGATTTGTGTTTATGTTATTTATGTTCATCTAGTCCTGAAAATTACACAACTCTGCCACTCAGTGCAG